AGACACGAGATTTTCCTAAAATTTCCAGGGGTGTTGATTTCCATTCGTCTTGTCCACTATTTTCCAGATTCCATCAGTCGTGGTGGATTTGAGCTTGTCCCTTTTCAAAAGACCAAAGGACAATAATCCATAGGTGAATCGTTAGTGGCTACGCCGGAATACGTTGAAAAGGTATATAATCAATACCTGTTTCGATCTTCATTACTTCCTCATATGAAGTAAAAAGGAAGTAATGTAATAGCGAAATATTTCGGGTATCATATTAAAACGTAATATCCATTTTGACCGCTATCGAATGCAATTTAAAGATGTTTTTGTATGACATCTGTGCGTAAGGAGAGAATAAACGACTCTTTCCCCCCAAAAAAAAATTATAAAACTGATTTAAAATGAATTCTGAAGAGATTTTTTCGTGTGCGTACGTATTTACGTACATATCCTGCATAACTCAAAAACGTATAATCTCAGAACGTTGAAATTTAGTACATAGGACTACTATAACATGTAGATGGGCACCTCCCATTTTTGTTGCAATCGGCAGCACGAAAAGTATATAAATATAAATGTATATATATATATATACGAGGGTTGGAACTTTAATAGTGGCAACACAGCTGAAAAAACGCTACGCAACAAAAGCAAAGAATATCGCGTATACCACACAAAACTACATACCTACCTTACCTCTCAGCAAAAAGACTGGTCCTGCCTTCGTCACGCGCATGCGGAGTGACGCGAAGAACGAATCCTTGTATTAGTTCGCGGTCTAAAGTAAGTGTTGTCAGGATGTTTCAAAACAAGAACAAAGATGTTGGATAAAAATTGAATGTGCCAGAGGTCGTACAGCACGACAGTGTCATCAAGGGCTTCAGGAGGCTTGCGGGGAATCTGCTTTGCCTTACAGAACCGTAGCAAGATGGACAAACAGGATTAGCGCATACGACTGTGCTGCACATTCTGAAGGAACGCCTGTCCATGAGAAAAATTGCTTCACGATGGGTTCCACATCAATTGACGGAAATGCAGAAATGGCTACGATACGATGCTGCCCGAACCCACCTCGAGCGCTATGAGCGCGAAGGAGATGCTTCTTTACGTCGTATCATTACGCTGGATGAGACTTGGGCCCGATCGTACCAGCCAGAACTGAAACGCCAATCAAACGCATGACGTCATCACGGGTCACCACGACGTTCGAAATTTCGTCAGAACCCCAGCAATGTGAAAGTTATGGTGATTCTCGTGTACGACTGTGATGGTGTCATCCTAACGCATACCGCTCCCCCACAACAGACCGTCACTTCGCAGTATTACTGCTCGTTTTTGGAGCACAATCTCCGACCAGCTTTGAGAAAAAACGGCGACACTTTCTGCAGAACGCTCCTCTCATTATGCATGACAATGCTCGACCGCATGCGGCGCAAGCTGTGACTGATTTGTTCAAGCGATGGGGCTGGGAAGTGCTTTACCATCCATCATACTCCCCAGATCTAAGCCCTTGCGACTATGACTTAATTCCTAAGATGAAGGAACCACTTCGTGGCACTCTCTTTCAAACTGTTCCTGAGATTCTTGCGGCAGTAGACCAGTCCAATCAAACTATCAACAAAACAGGCTCTGCTACAGGTATTCTGCGACTTCCACATCGTTGGAAACGGGTTGTACACAATACTGGCGACTATATTGAAGGACTGTAAAACATGGTGACATGAATCACTTTTGTATTCCTTGTAAATAAATAGTTGCCACTATTAAAGTTCCAACCCTCGTATATATATATATATCCACTTTGTTACTCGGCTCAGTGAACTCAGTTTCTTGATTCTTATATGTTTGTAAATTGTGCATTTTTTGCTTTGAAAATGATTGAATTATGTTGTTCTGGTTAAGAGTTTTATGCCTTTAGTGGGTAATCTTCCATAAACCGGGGTAAGTTGGCGCCAACCTATTTAGGACTTCAAAATTTGGCGAATTTTTGGGCGGCAATGAGAGCACTAATATGTGATGTTTAAACGTATAAATTTTAACTTTTGCATTAGTGAAACGCCGTTATTTTATGCAAACAGAATAGTAAAATGAGATGATAAAATACTCGATAAGTAAAGCAAAGTCCATCAGCTTTGCAAGCAAAAACATAGTCCTATCTATATCATTCATGATAAAATAGTACAATGAATAATAAAGTAATAAATTGTATGGCGCTTTCCTCGAACTCTAAAACTGTCAAGCTGTAGAGTCATTAGGATTTTTTGGAAGCAAGAGAGATGAAAAATATGCAACGCCTTCGCCGGGGAATCGAACCACGGACTTCTGGAATACGCGCCCAGCGTGCAGACCACCACACCACGAAGGCATGCCAAGAAGGTGGGAGAAGTACCTTATATATTCCCCTTTTTAAAGGGCGACTGTGGTTTCTAGGGAATCCATTTTTCCTCAAGGGTCACAATGTATTTCCCGCTAAATAGTTTTCATACTGGGTTCTACAAATTGTTCTTTGTAAGCCACATGCTTCAGCAAAAGGTGGTGAATATTGTGTTTTTAGCATTCTTATGCTGTGCATTTTGGTTTACCAGATATTTTTGAAGACTTTGCAACTAATTTCTGTGTCGGAGAATTTTCTTTGCACTTACAGCGCATAAAATTCAAGAGCATAATTCTCTAAATATTTAAAAGCACCTTATTTTTGTAATTCTCGATAGAGTGCTAAGGGTTGCCACCCATTTTTTAAAATGTATTGGCTATATTATTGCTCTGAAAACCAGCCGCTGGAGCAGCCAGCCGCTTAAAAGAGTTATGATAAAAATAAAAAAGTATCTAATGATTTGAATGAGTTCAGCTAGTGTCATTTCATAAAAATGTGTAATATTTCTTATTTGACATCAATTGATTTATATGTATGTTTATTTAAATCAAGGAGATTAAAATTAAAAAAGCACATTTAAGAACTGCTTTTTTTGCCGTAGTCTTTTGGTTTTCCTACTCAGTAACTGTAAGAGTAAATTTCAAATGCCTTACGTTTTATTGAATGGCAACCCGCTGCTGCCTGGAGTTAATTATTGTATTTAAGGCATTTTCAGCATATTACTTTCAAATAGCCGAATTTATGAATTAAAACTGAAAGATAAATAGCTTACATTTTGCCCTATAGCAAAAGCCTGGTGGTTTGGAGATAAAAATATTTTATTTCGAACATCGGTCACTTCTCGTTTTCATATCGCTGATTTTATTTATAAAAGTTGTGTTTAAACTGAGGGTTTGAGATCTTAGAGAGCTTCTGGCACTCCCGAAGCTCTATTAGACTTTTTCCAGCTGAATGCAATTATCTCGGCTTTGCATTCTCTCGCAGCTGATCTTTTTAAACTTACGCATAGGTAAAGTTAGCTGAGCCAGGTTACAGTTTTGTCCATTGCCTTTGTAGCCACATAGTCTTTAAGACTACCAAAGTTTAAATTTAAGTACCTCTTCTTCATGAAATTACATCCCTAAAATTAATGGTTTATTTGGATCTCAAGTCGTGCCTTTTATGTTTAAAGTCCAGTTTTATATATAAGGGTTGTTTAAACTTTCGCAAGTCTCCGTCATATTATTTTCAAACATAGTGATAACACCTTTGTTAAGTAGTTTGTAGAATTCAGATTCACGTGCCAGTGTTTTTAGGTAATTTTAGTAGAATCATAAGTAAAATTGTTGTGTTTGTCTGTGTAATGTAGCGCGAGACAAATATTAAGAGAAGGCAATACCGGAAAGGTAAGAATACAGAGGCAATTGCATTTAATATTCTGCAAAATATGATTTTGGCTAGATATCGCCAAGCTAACAACTGTTTTGGCGACTTATTTTGTCGCGAAATTTGGCGAGAAATTTGGCGAGAAATCGCCAAAAGTTATCAAATTTGGCGAGGTCTTGGTCCGGTCCCTGTATTACCGTAATATGTATTGAAATTGAATAAATATAATAGACAACTATGTTAACTGCAACCATAATTCCATCTTCTTACTGCTTTCCAGTAATTTCGAGAAGCTTAGAAATTTCTCGCGGCCGGTTGAAAACTATTTAAGGCCGAAGAGAGAGAGCATCTGCTCTCATTTGTTTAGTTAGCTGCTCTTGTTATGAGTTCAGCGTGAGATCGGATTAGCTTTCTCTTTAGATGCACTTTGCATTGCGTTGTGCTTAACGTTCTAAGTAGTTATAAGTGTAACTACTGATTGTATTGTGTGATACTGTGAACACTTGTACGAATACTTCTGTGGAAAATTCCAGATTTCTGATATATTTCTTTTGATAAAAATAATTTTTTATTAACCTAATATCGGACTTGTGCATTCAGTCTATTACGAACCCGTATGCACGCAACAATATTAACCAAAAATTTGTTAAATTTCTACAAAATCTGAAATAAATCAAAAACTAATCTGAAATTCGGAGTTCGAAGTGTCCGTGTGCGGGTAAAGAACTATGTGTATTAAAAATTCGGTGGCCATCGTTTAACCATAATGCGAGAAACATACATACATACAGATTCTTCATTATTTAATATCTTTAAAATAATATAGCACAATAACATTTGGTGGCAACAATGTGAAAAGTGGTTTGGGTACAACAGTGATGCGGATAAAATTTGCGTTTCGAGACTAATAGCACCTGTGGTGTTAAAAAAAAAAATAAAAAATATCTAAATTCATTCACGGCACTTTAAAAAAAGGCACATTTGAATAATTTCGGTTCGTTAACACATCTCATGTAAAAAAAGGAATTTCTCTGGAACACGAAGACGGATGGAAATAATACAATAGAGCAGCAAATGCCATCAACATTCATTTGAATTAGAAACTTTATATAATTTCTCATTCGTTTACTTAAGAATCTGAAAGCTTTCGTTAACCAGAATTTTAACTGTAAAATATTCTGCTGTCAGACTTTCCAAATTTACGTTAAAAAAAAAAAAAAAAAAAAAAAAAAAAAAACTGAATTATTAAAACGTAGTATGCTTTTTTGACTCTTAATCTTTTTATCTTTTACGCAGGTTATGCAATGGTTGTGAAAGGCAAGGAAGCCAATAATCGTTTCGCTAGGTTCCTGACACCATATATCCAAACACAAGGCTCATATAAAGGCTGTCTACGTTTCCATTACTTTATAGACGGTCTAACTCCTGCTTCTTTGGCAGTAATTAAACAAGGAGCAGTAACCAAATATATTTTTGCTACAGCATACAAAACGAGAGACCACTGGAAATATGCTGAAATTGATGTCGATTTTTTGGATGACGAAGTATTAGTAAGTTCTACTATAAGAATGGGTATTTCATATGGAGTTTTTGAATTTACTATTCTAAAATAAATGATTTCTTTTTACATTTATGTCTATAAATTGAGGGAGTTCTTAACGTGCATATATGATACTGTTATGTTGAATTGATTAATAGAAATTCTCACAGGTAAATCTGCTAGGGAAACTCGTAATACCAATTTCAGTTATCTCGAGTAGTTCCCAGTGTGAGGACTTCGTGAGTGTTGTGCATCAGAAAACCATGTTTGTTCTTTATTATTATTATTATTATTATAAGAGTTGATCCTTAGCCAATAGACATGGAACTGTAAAAATTACAGGCTAGTGACATTCAGAGACAGATATCTCAAGGTCTAAATATTGCACCTGGTATGTTATTTCTAAATTTAAGGAATGTCTCAAGGTGATGAGATATTCGAAATCAGTATCACAATATTATTCACTTGTCATAACTGCACGAAAGGAGAGTTATGCTGTAGGATTAAATCTAATTGCCTGTTAACTACAACCTGCTTAACATCTTCAAGACAAGAACACTTTCCTATCATATTTCAGCACTATTTTATTATTTTTGAATGCAGCTAAGCGGATTCCTGGTTGCATAGTTAAATTTAATTAACCATTAAAACTAAATCTTGATTAACGTGTCTATAGTTCCAGGCGACTTTTCGTCTTCGCACTGAACTGGAAAGACTAGAACTAGAAAGACGAAGGATAAATGTTTGCATCTTAAAGACCGAAGAGCTGGCAAATACAAGAAGTGCCTCATCAAAACTAGATCAGAAAACAGGTAGACAGCTCACGAAACAAACTTCTTTCTTATGTGTTTCCAAAGCTTTCGCTAAATTACACATTTGATGACTATTTATATTGCACCTTATCATCATTTTGGTAAAAAGGTCGAAGCAAGAAAGAAATTACAGTAAAGAATTAAGATAAAAATAACAGATTATCTAAAGAAAACCTTACAACGTGACTTGCTTAATGTCATCCAGTTAACACAACAAATATAATAATGTCATCCAATTAATACAACAAATATCAGTATAATACATATGTGTATATATGTGACATACACAACATGTCACACAGTATGTGACATCATTTTTCTCGATGTACTGAACACATTGCTTGGACTTCGTAATAGGGACAGGGATAAGTGGAGAAGATAGCAGGTATTCGCGATGGGACAAGCAGGTATGGCCCCCTACCACTACCTTTCTTGAGTTACCCCTCCAGGATCGAGTGAGGCATGCTCATACGCAAGTGCAAAATATATATATATATATATATATAACTGATTTAAAATGAATTCTGAAGAGAATTTTTCGTGACGTCTGAGCATACGTACAGATGTGCACCTCTTACTTTGATTGCAATCGTCCGTACTAAAAGTATATAAATATAAATAAATACATATCCACTTTGTTACTCAGCTGAGTGATCTCAGTTTCTTTATTCTAATATGTTTGTAAATTGTGCATTTTTTGCTTTAAAAGTGATTGAATTATGTTTTTCTTATCTACCGGTTAAAGTTTTTATGCCTTCAATAAATCTGCATGCAATATTTGTAGAATTATCAACAATTTAAAAGTTGTTTAATTGCGACTAAGCCAAATTTTTTTTACCACAGTAGCCATATTTGTTTACATTTGAAACTTGGCAGAATAGTGGATTTGTTGCCAATCTAAAGAAACTAAGCTTCGCAACAACAAAGATAACGCCTTCTTTTATTATTGCGAATTAAATCATGCTTAATCCATTCTGGAATTTATTCGAGGAAATAAGTGTTGAGATTTAATATTACTTCGTAATTTTTAATATAGATATTTTGAGGTTTTATGTATTTTTGCCTTGTCACGAAGTGAGAACTGAATTAATTGAATGAGAAATACTGAATCGTCTGTGAAAAAACAGGTTTTTTTTTTTTTTTTAAATTTCTTTTATACATCGTTTTAGATTTATTATAGTATTTGAATAAAACATGTGGCAACAATTAGATAATTCTTCAGATGATATAAATTTTGTGCATTCTGAGTTATAAAATGAATGAAATGTATCACTGTTAAGGGAACCTAGCGCCAGAGCGTTACTATGGTAAACAAATATACACTCACGTTTGTGAAAATTGCAACACCAAGAAGGAATCGTCATAATTGAATGCAATTTAATACATAGTTGAGTGGTATTGGTACAAATAAATGATTAAATGTTCAAAGCAAACAAACAAGAACAAGAGATCAGAATCAGTATTTTGTGTGGCCACCACGCGCCGCAATAAGTGCTGCTACACGACGTGGCATGGAGTCAAACAAAGTTTGAATGTCTGACTGAGGAAGAGCATTCCATATCGTTTGTACGCGTACCCAAAGTTCGTCTGCAGACGCAACAGGACGAGGATCACGAGCAAGACGCCGACCAATGACATCCCACACATGTTCAATTGGCGACATCCGGGGAACACGCAGGCCAAGGAAGAAGCTGTACCTGCTGCGCTGCAAAGAAGGATTTAACAATCCGAGCAGTATGAGGGCGGGCATTGTCCTATTGAAATACAGCGCCTGGCAAGCTTTGAAGGAAGGGAACAGCTTCGGGCTGTTGAACTTCACGGATATACCGGTTGCTGTTCAGATTGCCCACAATTCGTAGCAATTGAGATCGTCTATGATATGCTACGGCGCCCCAGACCATAACTCCGGGTGTTCGTCCACTGTGGCGTTCGATAATGCACTCCGGAAGGTGGCGTTCACCGGCATAGCGTCTGACACGAATGCGGCCATCATGGTACCACAAATTAAAGCGGGATTCGTCAGAAAACACGACATGCTGCCAATCAGCACGCCAGTCTCTATGCTGATTATTGGCCCATTGTAGCCGCAGGCGGCGATGGTCGTGCGTTAGGGGGATCCTGTATAAAGGAGTCCGTGCGCGCAGTCCACACTGCAGCAGACGTCTACGAATTGATGAAGCACACAATGAAACACCTGTAGCTATTGACCACAGTGCTGCCAATTGTCTAGAGGAAGCTGTACGGTCCGTCCGCGCCATGCGGACCAGGTGTCTATCATCGCGAGCTGACGTCACATTTCGGGGTCCACTCCCGGATTTCCGAGTTGTCCGACACTCGTCCGTCCACTGCTTCCAAACGCGCATCACTGTGCTGCTGTTACGCTGCACACGAGAGGCTACTGCAAGATACGACAATCCAGCTTCACGAAGGCCGATGATTCTCCCTCGTTCAAACTCTGTAAGTTGTTCAAATCTCGCTCTCTTTCGTCGACGAGGCATAAGTACAGATTGAGTTAACGTTTACCACTAGCAGATAACCACCGATAACCATACACGCCTCGCTACAGCCGTCTATTTATTCGGCCCAAGGCGATATTTTCCGGAGTACCTTTGCAACTTAATGCAATTACCTCCACAACTTCGTTAAGAAAACTGAAGTGATTAAGAAAAGCACTGGCTAAAGGGTAATGAAGGAAACCATTAAGGGTTTACGGGGAAAGTGAATTAGGAGTCCACTCTAAGGACGAAAAAAATTCTTTCTTCTTTCAACCTGTTTTACCAGATTGAAAGAGAGAGAGGTGATGATTGAAGGCGAATTCCTGAATGCATTGCATTAATGGAATCGGAAAGATTGAAAGACAATCAGCCGGGAAACTTAATTTTCCAGGGCTTGGGAAAGGTATATTAGGTAATACGGAAAACCGCAGTAATGCTAATGCCTTGGGGATGGGCTGGGGGGGGGGGGGGGAGAGAGTCTTGCGACTAAAGCTCGGAGCAAGGGATGGTGGAACGAAAAGAAGGGGGGAAAAAGATTCAAGAGGCGAAAAAGTTCTCCTACCGCCCGTGGCGAGAGAAGAATAGGAGCAACTTTTGAAGCGGAAAGAACCGTGAAGAAAGTTAACTGTAGAAAAGACGGAGAAGTTTTAAGATAGTTAAAGGGAAGGCAAGCGAGGAAAAGTGGAATTTAGAGAGGAAGGTGGATTAAAAAGGGGAGAAGAAATAAAAATAGAGACAGGATTAATCTGAATTACCTGATTGCAGATGATGACTGAAGATATGCAAGCTTGTACATTTGTGCAGTTTGCTGGAATCAAAAATACATATATAAAAGTGTTTTGAGTAGCATATGGGGGAGTTAGATTTTAAAGATTAGAATATTAATTTAAATTTTAAATAATTAAAACAGTTTAAGTTAAAATAAGTTAGATGATAAAAAATATAAAGAAACGTTTTAAAACTATTGCAAATCTGATTTTTAATTGTCTGGGACCGTGTGTTTTATGAAAAGATGAGGTCTTGGCAAGTGGAGGGAGCATGTTACCTATAGCAGCACGGATATAAAACCGAGAAACGAGGCCGAATTAGGTCCGGCGGGCATGTGGAAATATAGAAATAGTTAAGGGTCGCCGGGTTAGGCCCGTGAAGTGCTTGTTAATTTAAAAAAATTTTTAGAAAGAATTCCTAGTCAAGCAGACACCTCCGCTTTGGCTTCCTAGGAAAGATGTTAAAAGTTCTATCAAGAACGCTCCTAGGTCGCTTAGCTGAGCTGGGCTCAGCTGGATCATAAGCAGGAAGTGAATGCAAGACTGGGTTTTCGATCTGTGTTAATCTATTAAAGAATTTGGCCGAATTTTGCCGGAAAAAGGCATCCAGGGGTAGAATTTTGAGATCGTTATGAAGCACTTCATTACGGACGAAATAATGAGCATTTGTCAGAATACGAAGCGTGACGCTCTGGAATACTTGGATTTTCTTTAGATGGCTATTGGCAGCAGTTGACCAGACGACAGCAGCGTACGTCAGGATCGGTAGAATGGTACTCTTGTATAAAAGGATCTTATTATTGAGGGAGAGGTTGCTGGTTCTTTTGAGGAGAGACATCAGTTGGGTTCTGGTAGTTCTTGCTTTGGAGATGGCATAATTGATGTGGGTATTCCAGAGCAGCTTCGCATCTAGATAAACTCCCAGATATTTGTAGGATTCCACCCAGGGTACATTTTCTTCAAATAATCTGAGTGGAGGGAGTTGACTATGGACATTCCTCTTTCTGGAAAAGAAAACTGTGGCGGCACTTTTTGCGACATTAATTTTGATTTTCCAGGTAATGAGCCAGGACTCCAAGTCTGTTAAATACAGCTGTAGGTGATTGAGAGTGGCATGTAATGTTGAGTGCTGTGAAATGATGGCTGTGTCGTCTGCATAGAGTGCTAGTAGATCGACACTTGGTGTTTGTGGTATGTCATTTACATACAAGTTGAAGAGCGTAGCGCTAAGAATTCCTCCCTGAGGCACCCCAGCCAAGGATAGGGCGAGGAGAAGAGACAGAATATTTAACTTTGACAGAAAAGGTACGATTAGTGAGGTAAGAGTGCATTATGTGCACAAAATTAGCCGAAATTTCAAGTCGCATGAGCTTGAATAAAATTCCGATATGCCAACATCTGTCGAAAGCCTTTGCTACGTCTAAATAAACAATAGCTGTAGGCTTTCCACTGCGAGATCCTGTATGAATGATTTCAACTACCCTCAGTAGCTGGGCCTGAGTTGAGTGTTTAGCACGAAAGCCGAATTGCTGAGGAATAATAATATTTCGGTTTCGGCAGAAATCATTCAGGTATCTAAGCAGTATAGCTTCGTAAATTTTACTAAGTGAAGACAGAAGGCTGATCGGCCTATAATTTTGAGGGACCTTTGGGTCCATTCCAGGTTTTAGAATAGGAATGACTAATGCATTCTTCCAGCTATGGGGATAATATTTTAGCCTTAGCATTGAATTTATCAAAACTGCTAGGTAAAATATGAATTTTACTGGTAAATTTTTAATCATGCGATTAGAAATCCTATCCAGGCCAGGTGCTTTTGCAGGGGTGAGATTTTTGACAAAAGCTGAAATCTCAGTCATTGTTGTGGTGATGGGTTCCTCAGAATTTGTGTCTGAGGAGAGAAATTCTTCAACTTGGTGTTGGACTTCATGCGTGTGCTCTGCACAGGAATCGAACATGAGTCCAGTGTTAGGTGAAAATTGTGTTTGAAGGCTGTCCGCTATGCGTTCAGCCTTTTCGGTGTCTGTTAATGCCATCCGGTCGTTGACCGTGCCCTTTAGGGGGGGGGGAATGTCGTGTTTTGGTTTGCGAAGCCGTGCGCTAGCAACCCAGAGGCTATTATCAGAAGTCTTTAAGGACTTAAGATAGTTTGCGTATTTTTCGTCTGTGTATTTCTTAATGTCAGACTTGATCTCATTCTGGATCCTTCGCAGTTGTACTCGAAAGTTTTCCAAACGTGTATTTTGCCAATCTCTGCGAAGGCGGTTTTTAATTTTGATTTTATCTTTAATGTGATCAGGTAATTTATAATAATTTTGCCTGAATTTGGGTTTGGAAGCAGCTGTAAATGCGCTTCCTAGGGTTTGGTTGAGCCTGTCAATGG